CAGGAAATTCCCAACTGCCCCCCCCCCCCCCACGCCCCCGGTGACCCTCCAAGATCCCTGCCCAAACTGGCCTGGAGGAAAAAGAGATTTTTAATAAAGCATCAAACTTACAAAATATGTAGGCTAAGCTCCCATCAGCTGGGCCTTGAGTGTGCACATACATATAGAAAGCTTGTCAGAATCCGAAACCACGTGCACTTCTAAAGCTAGGCGTCTTATATCCTACACCAGGGGTGTCGAACTCATTTTTTATGAGGGCCGGATCTGACATAAATGAGACCTTGTAGGGCCGGGCCATGTGTGTCATAAAATGTAATGTCAGGTAGGTAGCGGAGGTAGAAACTTTATAAAACCCCTCTAAAAATAAAATAAAATAGCTTTGAATCTATACAGAGAAGAATGACAAACCCTGCCTTACAATGGCCCCACCCCCACTTTCTGAAAAGCTCAGCAGGCACCAAGGGAAGGACTGGCAGGTGCCAAGGTGCCCCCAATGCACCACGTTGGGTAGGGTTGCCAACCCCCCCCCGATGGGGGCGGGGATTCCCCCGATTTCGGGGGCCCCAATCTCCAAACAGCCCCACTGTGATGATGTCACCCAGAGGTGACGTCATCATGCCGGGCACGTCATGTGGGGGATGCTCTAGCATTTGGCTAAAAACTCTATGGTCACCAAATTTTAGCCAAATGCCAGAGCATCCCCTGTATGTGCCCAGTGTGATGAGATCACTCCTGGGTGACGGCACTGTGGCGCATGTGCAAAGCGCGCACACCAGAAGACTCCAGGACCAAGCCAGGAGATAGGTCTGCCTTGCCGGCAGAGAGGTAACACCTGGCAAACCTAACTTTGGGGAACTCTGATTTACAGCAATGCAACATACCCAGCATGCAGGAATGAGAGAAGCTTGTCCAATAAGCTCAGTTTCCCACTGACGTCAATTAGATGATCCCCAATGGCAAAGGGCTCTGGTTCAACACCTGTAACAGAAAAAGACTTGGGCAAAAACTATTCCCCCAATAGCCTAACACGGGCATTAAAAACATAAGACCCCTGCTGGATCAGACCCGTGGTCCATCTAGTCCAGCCTCCTGTCTCACACAGTGGCCAACCAGTTCCTCTGGAGGGCCAACAACAGGACAGAGAGGCCGAGGCCTTCCCAATAAGAACATCACAAAAGCCCTGCTGGATCAGACCAGTGGCCCATCTAGTCCAGCATCCCGCCTCACACAATGGTCAACCAAGTACTCTGGAGGGCCAACAACAGGGCAGAGAGGCCGAGGCCTTTCCCTGATGTTGCCTCCTGGCTCTGGGATTCAGAGGATCAGACCCTTACTGTGAAGGACCCTTTTCTTCTGCGGACAGGAGGTCATCTTGGTGGGTGATTCCCACTGTCCTATCAGAGAGGCAGAAACAAATTCCTCTCACTTCCTGTCTCCGACGTGGGAGTCACTCTTCCCTTCCCTTCCCTTCCCTTCCGAAAGCAGTTGTTTTATACCTTAACTCTATTAAAATAAACGGTCTGCTTGAACGGTAAGAAATTAAGAAAATGATCAACTGGTGTGTACAGGAGATGTCTATTAAGACAGGAAGCGATCCCATTGGGAGGACCTAACCTGATGGCAGCATGGGAGGGAAAAGATGTCTTCCTGTCCTCAAAGGAGAAGGGCTCTTCACGGTACGTGTCCAATGGACCGTTCTTCTTCTGAGGTGGAGGACATCTTGGTGGGACCTCCCAAAGCAGTGTCCCTATTTTTGAGTGGGTAGTCATCATCTGTATCCAAGATATCCTGAAGCACCCTTCATCCGAAGGCTGCATCAACTGAGTTGGATATATTTATTTTGTAATGCCTTATAAAGGTCGATATGGAAGACCATGTGGCAGCTTTACAAACTTTTTCTACAGAAGCGTGTTTAGCAAAAGCCGCATTATCCGCAGCACTCCTGACTAAGTGTGCCATAATTCCAGTTGGAATGGCTAACTTGTGTAGAAGAGAAGAA